CTCCTCATTTTCGCTGCCAGCTTCATTAACTCTGCAACAGCACGAAGTAGGCACAAAATGCCTAGCGGCCACCAACTAAAGAGAAGAATATGACTCAGCGGCATGAATTCTGAATTCCAGCCCATACAGTAGGCCATATTGTTGACTGTCCTCCGTGGAAACAGAAGCATGATGTTGGTATGACACTAGGCAGTTTGGCAATGGGAGCATGCTTCGCGCAAGCAAAAGTTGCCCATCAAGCTGAACAAATGTCAAGAGCGTCTGACCTGCTCCAATTGAGCGAACGTCGACGCCAAACAAGGAGGCCTAGCCCGGATAACCAGGCCCTCGAGGCAGTGTAACTATTTCTCAGTTTGCCAACCTCATGATTGCTCTTTAGCAGGAGATTGTCTGCTATGGAAGGTTGGAGCTCGTGTTGCTCCAGACCCTGCCTGGAGTCTTAAAGGAGGCTTGCGTCAGCCAGCGGCCTCAACCGTCAATGCCTGCGGCCAACTGGCAAAGAGTGTGGCTCACATTGCTGCATCCAGGTCTGCCCTGCGTATGCAGCATAAGCAATGTCTCTATTGGAAACAGGCTCCGAAAGCTCTAGCCTACCTAGCTCTGTGTCCACAGTGTGCCCCAGAAATTGTCTGCTGCCAACTTTCGGGGGGCCTCTACCTCAAACTACTCAAGGAACTGAAGAAGCCCCCTGACCAATTGACTGGCGCGGTACAGTCATGCTTCTTCATGCCGCTGAAGTCGAAGTCATAGAGGGAGCCGACGTCGCCCGCAGATGCGTCCTCCATTTCTCGAGCTTTCAGGGGTCAGAAATGTCATGTACCAGGATGCCACTAGTCTCAAGGATATGCGGGGGCTTGGGATTACGCTTGTTGGGGCCCTTACGACTAAAAGATGTTAAGTCGACGTGGGCGCAAACCTCTAGTAATGTAATGGTACTACCAACATTCATATAATGGAAACAGCAGTAATGATAACACTAATATCTATTCAATTCAATGCAGGTCTGACCTTTGGCGCAGGTTGTGAAGGTGGAAGTGGCATTGAGATTGTTGGGGTGCTGCATTTGGAATTGTCCTCAATGCTTGTTGGGGCAGTCAACTGGTTGAGTCGGAGACATGCTGGCATCTGCAGACAAACTTCAGCCCTTGCAGTGTAGCAGCTGCACAAGAACCGCTGTTGCAACCTCTCCTTCATGGTCACGAGTCCTCAGATCATGTGGTTCCGTCACGGCCCCGTGCCCTGGTTGCCTCTGTTGGTTATTCCTGGACCATTTCTGAGTGCACTAATTTTCTGCTCCTTCTATTCCTACTCCTACTCTTACTCCTGCTTGAACTATTTTATCAACATCACCACCACCACGGCGGCTGCTACTTCGACTGCTGCTATAACTCCTCCTACTACTGCTTCTGCTTTATTCATGTTCAAACGTCAGCTTCCAATGGACATTCGTATCTTATCCAAATATGATTGCCCTTTTCCGATGAGGTGGTCGGGAGTCTCTGAGGCCTGCTTCTGCGGAGCTACATGTCCAAGTTATTGGTCATGATCCTTCCACATGTTTGCTTGTGATGCTCTCAATGCCTGCCAGGTTGATGACCTAAGAAATCTTTTGACTGTTCCCATTTCTGTTCTCGTTGCTTCTAGTTTGTCAAAATGCTGCGGACGGATCCCCATCCCCCTGTGAGATTTATCCAAGGCGCGGGAGACAAACTGATCTACGGTGCTCCTCTCTGGGAAGACGATGTCACCCAACCTCATGGCAAACCAATGCTGTCGGAACACAGATATGTGTACAGATTATGTTTGTACTGCTGCAAACTTCCGCCCATGCTTGCTGGACTTCATAAGAGAATACACCCCGCAACAGCTTGGCAACAGATTCCAAACTGTGGTTATTGATGCACCGTCAGCAAGCATCAACTGCACCCCAAGGGGCATGCGATTCTTGTGCTGCAGGATCTTCTTCAAGTCGGCAGATGTGTTTCGCGCGTGGCCAGACGGGTACATGACCTTTGGTTGCGGAAGATTGCGGATCATGGATCCATGTCCAGGTCTTGACAGGCTGCCCATTCAGTCGGACCTGGCATGCGGACTGAATTGTGCTTCAAGGGCCACCCAAGTGAAGGATTGGCCATGACTGCCTTCAAGCCCGGAAAATATATTACGCAAGGAGTACAACACGTTGTGCTGATGTGCTGCCATTGTATTGCTCGTAGGGAGGAAACATGGAGCGCAAGCTATGGTGGGAACGCGCCACTGAGGAACGAAGAAATTCTGTCACATACAGGCAAGCATAGCGAGAGGCAGAGCAGCACTAGTTAAGAGCTTCCCTCTTCTCACTGTCGCCCTACTGCACGGGCATGACATGAGAAGAAGGCATTGTAAATTAAATGAAGCGCAGACTGGAAGCCATGCCGCTGGAAATCACCTGCAGGGAGCGACATATGTGAAAAAGACAATCCTGTCCCTATCTCGGGGTTCCATATTTAAGATACTTTCGTGACCATGCTAGGGGGGGAAGGCATGAACAGCCATTCATCTAAATGTCTTCATGCTGCTGCCTTTCCGCTCTTGAGGGTGATGTCGATGGCAGTGGGAATTCCATCAGGATACTTCGCGTCGTACTCAGGGCCGCCATGTGAGAACCTCAAGGCTTTGAACGCCACTTTTGTTGACAAAATGATGTGACTGAATACAGGTTAACTACAACTGAAGACACAGGCCACCTGGAGAGTTTTGCAGCAGAGACGCGAGATCTTCTCCATGAGTGCTCGTGTGTCCTTCTCATACAATGCATCCTTGCCGTAGTCGTAAGGCGACAGCCTCATGTGCCAAGGTTCACAAGCATCGCCTCAACGCAAGAGCATGGTGGAGTTCTGACAGGGCACATCAGCTCCATCCAGGCATCGTCCATCGCTGAGGGCACCTGCCGAGGTTGGTGATGCCCTGAAGTTTGCTCTCGTAAGGGGCTCGGATGCAAAGTTGCAACCTGTCCATTACAAGAGCCGCAAAAAAAAGATGTCCCAACGGTGCTGCAACTCTCCACACCACTCCTGGCCTAGCCTGCAAGACCGACCCCCGTGCAATGTACATAGCTCGCTTTAGCACCACGCACATATGCTCAAGAGAAGAGGTCTTCCTGCGCCACGAATGACTCATCAACCCTTAGCCCTTCCCTTCCTGGTGCCGGCCTTTCCAGACTTCAAAGCCTTCTGCAGGATGCGTGACACGATGAAGGCCATGGAGTGATCTGCAGACCTTGAGCTGAACAGACATAGCTTACTCTCCCAGCCTTGCGAATCGCTCAAGGGTCAATGCAGTCCCTGTAATTCAGTAGCCTGGGCAGCATGATCAAAAAGCGTCCAAACAAAACTGCCGAATCTTAGCAGGCAAGGGCTTCTCTGATGCTATGCCCGGAAACTGGCAAAGGTATGACAAACTCCCGTGTCCTCTGAGAGCAAGAGACTGTCGCGTCTTCGGGTCCTTCTTGGCTGGGTCGCCGATGATTCCAAAGGCTGGCTCGTAAGCGATGATGTTAATGCCGGCGATCCCATCAACGCCACCTGCGGCAGCAAGCAGGAAGAAAAGCCAGGCGTAGTGAAGACGGCAGCGGCAGCAATGGCAATTGCTGCGAACATCTGCGAACATGGAACACTGAGTTGACATGCAAGCTTAGTTTGCCAAGACCTAGCTGTGATGCTTGGAGCATCTGGCTTGGTGTATCTGTGTAAGCTTGTAAAGGATCGGCAATCGGCAGCTGTCACTTCCCAAGCGCAGCGAAGCTGAGGACGCAAGTCTCCTGTCAACTCAACATCCCAAACACCGGCCGGCCTGCGACAAACTCTGGATTCTGAACCTGAGATGTTGCAAAACAAGTCAAAGCTCTGTCATAGCCTGGCATGCTCAAGCTCGGCATCCAATGATAGACTACTGATTTGCAACAAGGCCATGTCTTGCTCCTTCGGGTTTAACACAGCCTGTGCCCAAGGACGCAAGCGAAATCTCAAGTAGTCTTCCCGACTAAGACCTCTTGACTTGAGTCTAGTTGCCGTTTTGAGGGCAAAGGGCACGCCGCCGCATGAAACACTGGAACCCCATTATTGTCTAACCAGAAGCTCTCGTGACTAGAAGCTCGTTGCATCACAAATGCATGGATTACATTCTACCTCCGCCCAGCAGCTAGCGCGGAGATGGCACCCTCCAAAGCGCCTGCAGACTGGTGTTCATAGAGGCCCAGCTTGAAGTGCATGCCCATCACCTCAGAAAAACCATGAATTACTTGGTGAGTGGCCATTTGGTTTGAATGCACCTTACGCGCCTCATGCTACCGTGTGATTCAGCATGAGGTGGCCGTCTGCGTACGCTGACTTACCATTTGGAACTTATGTTGTAAGAGGCTATCCAAAATCTGGCCACGTCTGGATTCTCAACCGAGGAAGTGGAAACTGAAAGACGAGACGAGTCAGCAGAGACTCTCAAGCACGGCTTTTTCAGACACTCTGAGGGCCATTGCCGCCGAATAGCTGCGAAGTCGTCACCACCAGTGGACAGCACCAGGTTGAAAGGGCTTGGCCCGACGCCCCATCTCACCTTGTTGCCTCAGCCCAAAATGCTAGAGCAAGCGATGCAAGGCTGTTGGATGCAGCTGTGTATAGCTGTGTATACTCTATACCCACACTTGCAGTCTTCATTAAAAGGTGTTGTGCGAAATATTTGCTATGCTACCCACTGCTCACATCTTAGTCTGAGGCTGAGCGTGATGTCAATGTTGTCCTTGCTCTTGCCTGGAAGCAAACACTCTCAATGCGGCTTAATTTGTGGCACTGCGCTGCCCACAGGGGCACACAAAAGCTCACTCAGCTCCGGAGGCATGTTCCTTTCCCACAACATAACACCGTGTCGGAGATGCAGCCTAGCCATGCAACCCAAGCCTAGGCACCTGCCGGCAAGCAGGATGTTACCGTTGTGAGATTCACCAGCAGGAGCAAAAGGACCTTTGTTCCTATGTCCTAGCACACCATACACACGACACACAGGCAGTGCTACATATAGCACCGGCAGAAAGATGGCATGATATGGTAGTTTCCCTAAATAGGGGGACCCCAATATAGACCCCAATATACTATAGTCCTTATTATGGGGACCCCAATTTTGTACCCCTAATTTTGGGAAACCCCCATATACCCTTCCAGCACAGCACACTCGTGGAAACGTGCGGCCTACACCTGTGCTTGGCTCAAAGAAGCGGAAGATGGCCTTCCAAAACATCATCTTATGCGCCACTGGGTTGCTGTTAAGGAACTTAAACTAAGTTACCATAATGGATATATATAGTAAATAATAGGGTTTCCCCAATATAGTAACTTAACTTAAGTTCCTTAACAGCACCCCAGGCTAAGGGATCAACAAAGTTAAGGGTTAACACAAACTGCTAATAGGGATACTATGATATGGTTTAGGGTCTACAGGATCTAACATGGATACTTTGGCTCTCCAGATTTCAGCAGGTGCTTTAGGAGACAAGTGGTCATCAAAACCCTGCGAAGAAATATCGGAGGTTCTCCAAATTGACCTTAGATACTTCTTGAGCTGGGCCCCCATCTTCTTCTTGTCTGTTCTTTGGGAGCGTTTCTTTGGACCAACTCCCCTCAAAAGTCCTCACAATGCACTTGCGTGTCTCTGTGCGGGATGGAGGAGCGCATTGCTGTGAAATTTCCCGAACCCCACACATTTCCATAGCCGAAAGAATCCTTCTTTCCTCCGCCCGGTAAACGACCTGTTTAAGGCTTGTCCCCCAGTCGAACCTGCATGTAAAGCATGAACGACCTGCATAATTAGTGTGTAAAACCAAGAAAATGCTTGTACAAAGTTTTTGAAGCTGCGCAGAAACCTCTATGAAAAACTTGAAGCACAGGCAGGCAGACTCAAAACTGCAGGTAAGCAAACCCTGGTAAAGATGTGCATCGCGTCTTCCGCGTACCCAACCAACGGCTCCCGAATACTGATCAACATCCACAACCCCATGACCATGTAACAGGCGAACAGGAAGAAGACACCTGGATGCTATCCCTCACACAAAGCCTCCGGATTCCTGAAGATGTCCTTAGGGCCGACGAAGCCCCGCATGGCCTGATCTAGCTCCGGGCAAGGAGGTGCGATTCTATGAATGATCTTTACCTTCCATGATGGTAGAGAGGACATTCACTGAAGGACTCGCTTTCCCGAAGCATTTCGTGCTCTGGCTTGGTTGCAATTTCAATGGGCGAGCTAAGATGGAAGCCTTCCGCCCAGTGCTTCCGAAGCGCTCGTCGCATGGACAGCACGGCAGCCTCTGTGGAGATGGCAGCAGAAGCCCCCTGCCAGCGGGTGGGCGGGATTCCATGACTTGCAAGGCAGTGTGGTCCAGGGTGCGTAAGCTTAACCCATGTCCACGCGCAACTAACAGGATCTTTCGAAGGTTTCCAGGCGGAACCCCGGAGACGCGAACCTTGCTTGGCCCCCAAGCTCCCCCTCAACTCCCCAGATGCATCTCGAGCCTTGGAGTCGGAGAGCTGCTTGCCTAGTCTGGAAGTCTCTTGGGTAACTTGCTTGCTTTCAGGACACATATGCTCGATGATTGGCCTAATCCGAGCACACCCCCCCCCCGCCAGAATCAGAAATTGAGGGCGCGAGATTAAAAGAATGGTTGGGGCTCCTGGAACTCAATCAGAATTGAATAGGAATGCATTCCTGCGTCGGTGGGGCTCTTGGACTTCTATTAATTAAAAATGCATAGGAATGTATTGAATATCTCTATTATTAGGATTGGTTCCCCAGAAAGTGTCTTTAAATGTAGTCCCTTATCCCCATACGAAAAGCCACCTAATTGTAGCTAGTCTTTGGACGCTAATTCTGTAAATGTGGACCCTTTAATAAAACAAGTGCTCGGATTATGGGGGCTCTTCGAGTAGAGTTTGAGGGTTGACTCTGTAGCTTGGATGTGTATGAGGGCTCTTGCATACGCCAGCCTCGGTGCCGAGGCAAGATGACCCTTTTCCTCTCACGGGTGAGACGGTTAACAGGTGAGACGGTTAAGAAGCTGAGAGAAATTTCGGAGAAAAAAAGGAAGCAAAGTGCTCCTCAGCAACAGCTCTTGACTTCAGTCTCTGAACTTCCAGCGCGCAGGCCCCTCACGGACTACTTCAGTGAATGAAAGGTCCGCCGGGTGCTTGATTTTGTACCCAGAGATCCCAGCGCTGCTAAGCTGCTAAAATGCGATCCCTGTTTCAAATACAGGCCGATACATTCAAGCGAGCTGCCTGCGCGGATAGCCCGGAACGGGATGTAGTGCGCCACGGCCATCCCGATTGCGCTCTCAATCCTTCCATACAGAACTCACGGCGAGAAGGCATAGAACAGATTGGTTCTAGACTTCGTGCCGAGTACAATATTAGCCTGGGCGATTGCGTCTCCCGCAAGACGCGCACCCGAAGCTGAAGCATTTGCATGTCTTGTGGTGACAAACATGAATACCCCGTGCAAATCTCCTTCTAGACTGGTCGTCAGGATGGAGCCTGTCTATAACGCATCCTTTCTGAGGCCGCAGGCCATATCTCTTTTTTACCAAAGAGCCAAACCCAACCCTGACAGCATCTTCAGAAACACTTCAGGCCCAGCTTGGTCGATGCGGATGCTCACCGTGAAGTAGATTCATTCAAATTTCTCGCAAGTTCGGCCGAAACCATGATGCAGCAAAAAAAAGACCGGCTACAGCCCTATAAGGCCAGGAGACTGCTCGACAGAGGCGCCCAGCAGTGCGCCGTAGACAGCGGCAGAAGCAATAGCACCTGGTGGTAGAGGCCCTGGAATTTTGCCCTCTGCCCTGCCAGGACCATACTGCCAAGGAAATGCTAACAAGACTCAGGTCGGCTGACGAGCTCACATGGATCACGGATACTGAAACTTTGAAGTGGCAGAACACGCAAGTTCCAAAAGTGCGCTGGCATTGTGCCCTACACCCTCTACTACGAGGCCTGGCAAAGAGTGAGCTGAGTTTGCAAGAAAAAGCCTCTATGCAATTCAAAAATTCTACCCGGATCCTAGGGCGCTTAACTGCGGTGCAGTCAGGTTTGACCATGTCTTGCAGCCAATTATAGGCCCAGGCACCATGGACAACGTGATCGATCTTGTAGCCTGGGATTCATTCTTTGAACGGAGGAAATGCTGCCACCTATGGTACCTATCAGGTTGTTGCGTGTTTGAGGCGGTTATCCTCCGTCGAAAAGTGCTGTACTACCTCAAGCGCCTGCGCGCGCGCCCCGGTGCCCGATCAATCTCCTCAAAATGCAAATCTGATGAATAACCCCAACTCCTTGAAGAGGCATGTTCTTGGTTGTTACAAAGGCCCGACCTAGGTCATGATGACTGTAAAGCAAAACACCTGTCAGGCCAGAGCCGAGTCGATGGTTTGGTGGTTGGTTCGATTCTCTTCTTCTTCTACGACGCCATGCCCAAAAAGACAATATTATCAATGCACCTTTGGGGACAGTATCGCCATTACACATACCACTCAGCTAATCTACAGTGAATCTAGAGGCTCCGATGGCAGGCACTGAAGGACAGCCGATCCGCCAGCCCACAATTCGAGGTTCTGCAGCTGACTGCCAAAAGAGTCCTACGCAGGAAGCTCTGAAAGCCACCCCTTGAATACCAGACCTCAAAACATGTCGACCCAGAACTTCAGATTGAGAAGACCTGCGCACAGGAGTAATTCATTTGGGCGGGTTAAACAGTGATGGGTTCAGTCGTCCTAAGGGTCATGGTGCCCAAACCCAGCAGAGGCGCTCTTGAGGCTGAAGACCTGCTCAGCAGGGATGGTAAACGCAAGCTTCTCCAAAGGGGGGAGCCTTTCGAGTATATACCGCAGTGGCTATCATGAGATGATTTGGGTGAACTTTCGCGGGTTTGGGATTTGTTCAGAAGCTCACAAATCACAGTGCCCGAAAGGATTACATACAGATCGGAGAAGCTGGAGGAGACCACCTCCGGCACTTCAGGAACCAGCACAAGCCTCAGAAAAATAAGAAAGCATAGGAGTCCACGATGATGGTGGGGAGTTTGCACTGCCAGCGTGACAGCTGGGGCCACAGCCCGCAATTTCTTCAAACGCTTCCCGGGATGGTCTTAATCAACCCTTCTATTGGAGACTACAAAGGGCGAAGGCGCAGAAGACAAAGTATCATCACAGCAAAAGTCGCTGTCAAGCTTTCTGCAGGGTTCCAGGCCTCTGCGAGGCGTCCTCGAATTTCATCCAGGGCAATCATCCTGGGCTTCAGCGGGGTTGGTGCGAGCAGCCAAATTGTGGTCCATAGCGCATATCATGAAAGCGTCCTTCACAATGGAATTTGGTTTGATTCTGCTACAGAACTGTTCAGCTGTTGCGACGTCTTTACTGATGATCCAGCTGCGCGGAAAGGACTGCGTGCTCTGGAGCAACTTAGCCCCTCCACATCATGCATCAAAAGAGGCCCTGGCTGCCAACACTTGCCTTTGGCAGCTCTAACGAGTTCTCTCATAGCTGTACTCCCTCAGCCTCCTATGCCAATGGCCAACCTGAAACCCCAAGAAGGTTTCCATGTGCCAGCTCAGGCATCGCTAGCAGTGCCTTCTTTCCATCGACGTTTCCTGTCACCTGGCACATGCTAAGTCATCGCCCTGCTCACTCCCCTTCTCTGAAAAACATGCACCGCGTTGGCCTGTGCAGCTGCCATCACAACCGGGTAGAAGTCGTTGTGGCCGAACTCGCCTGAGCAACTGCACGAGAAATCCCTCGTGACCCTTTACCAACAATTCCACAACCTCAGAGCACAAAACTTTCTGTACATCGACTGAGGCAACTGCCCGCATCATGTCCAGGGATGTTTGGGTTGAAGCCTGGCAGGCTTGCGGCAGCATAACTTGCTCTGGAGGCGTGCTCTCGAGCCCTGGGTTGACACTTTCAAGCTCACGAGGTTTAACTCTTTCGGGAAGTTCCAGGTGTTACCTCGCCTCTGGCTGTGATGCAAGACTCTCAGTCAGGGAATGTATGTTGGTGGAGAGGTGGCAATGCTATAATAGACAACCATAGGTTAGCTGTGACGGTTCTAGGCTTGGACGTGATGCTGCATCACAGCGCCAGTGCCTGCGCAAGCGAGAGCTTTCCAGCGTACCACGTCGTCCGAAAGCTAGCTACACCCCGGCAAGCAGTAGGCAACATCAATGTTATCCGTCCCTGACGGCCAAACAGACGCAGCCATGTGCTTCTTGGGTTTAGGCCTATACTTAAGCAAGTCGCTTTCCCTCTTCTACCTGTAAGCCACGCATAGGGATACCACTGTTCATAAATCAAGAATTCTAAGATCTTTTTCAAAGTGTTGTCTCATATTCCGTATTTTTGTTCTCCAGCTGCCCATGGCTATGCCTTCAAGTGCGCAAAGCCCATTACATCCCATTTGGTCCGATGCAAGGGTGCATGACACTGCATGCAGGTCGTGCAAGCGACCGCCAACCCGAAAGTTCTGGAGCTTTCCCCGAATGTTGCACACCCTTGGCCTCCTGGGGTCAATGGATATCAGCTAGACCCCCTGATCTCCGGGGGACGACTACGCGTTTTGCAACTGGGCGGCCGAAAACGGTGCCATTCGAATCCCACTCTCGCACCTCGGGGTGCAGGCGCAGGTGTTGCAAGCTTAGGACAGTTTTGCGGAGAAGAAGCAGGAACCCCCAAAATGTGCTACATGCTGCGAGTCCTTAGCCACACTTCCGCCTCGGGTCCTCGACCTCGGCCCTGGACAATTACGTAGATGTATGTACCGCGAAAAGCTATGAAAATGTAGGGCTTTCGTGGAGCGTGGCTTCCACCCTACAGGTTTGCATGGTATACACACTTCAAAACCCGAAAGCATCCGGAAAAAAACCCTGAAGGCAATCCCATACTGTAGACATCCCCAATGCCCATAAAATCTGCAAACGGAGTGGCAGCAGAGGCGTTTGCAGCAATCACCTTCTCCGGCGCACACTTTTCCTTAGCATCTTGCCTCTTGCTAGCAGGGAAGGATGGAACGAGCTGTTGCGGATTTTCTGTCTCTAAGTAGTGTAATTACGGATCCTTTTGTTCATTCTCTGCTAACAACAGTCCACATATTCAGGGCACAATCTCTCTAGGAGCTTTTGAGTGCGCCAAACAGGCAAGGGCAAGCATCTGGCATGGGTGCTCGCGCTTCATGCTCTGCTTGAAAATGGCAAACATTATCATGACATCTCTCAAGGGTCTATTGCTATGACAATAGTGTTTCTTGCCATCGCATCGCTGTTGCCACTTCTATTTTGTCATTCTCAGGTAGGGCTCGCTGCTGCCGAAGACAGTGGCCCCCTTCGGGTCCTTGTAGGTCAGTGCTTCCTGGCCGGAACAGAAGCTGTAAGCACTTCTCCTGATTGAGGTTTCCTCATACGATAGGGTTTTCTGAAAATCATAAGGAGTGGGACCCTGCTGCATCATACAGATCCCTGTTCTTGAGACCTCTATCAAAAAATCAGGATTTTGAGAAGCTCTGATGTATTCCAAATCATGTGTTGTTCGGGGGACCTTATAAGCCCTATACCCCAAGCTCGAAGCCCTAAACCCTAATTGCAATGAACCCTAAGCGCTAAACCCAGTGGGAGCTTGTCGCCTTTACGACCAGTAACTCTTAGGAACCGGATGTTGAATGAAGTCCCACAAGCAGACATCTCAATGTATGAGGGTCCGCAGCGCTGCTGCCAAATTACCATACTGTTTGCCATACCATCACCTCTCTAGAGCTGGTGCCCATGTTTGTGGTGACTGGATGCCTGCTGCATTTGACTTCGGTCAGTTGCATCACATCGAATCACATCACTTCTTCTAGCGGCTGGGCAAATCTGCGCCCGTCACGGAAACTCTGCAAGTCCCTTTTGAGGGAGGGGTTCAGTTAGCAGGGATCACAACCAAAATTCTTCCCCTGTCGTCATGCCGGCTGAGAATTTGTGTGTAACCGGGCCTCTCGCAGCAAGGTCGGTGCGTTGGTTTTCAGCGCGAGGGCTGAGATCCCGCACATGACCTGTGGGTCCGAGTTGCTTTTGGTGAACAGCTCATGCCCGAGCATCTGCATGTTTGCTGTGGCGTTGTTGGTTTGGAGTGCTCACACCAAGCCGCGAATGCGTCAGCTTTACAGCTGTGGCCTCTACTGCACCACTTTGACTGAAAATCGCAGACATTGCAAGACCGGCGCAGCGTGAGTCGTTACTGACTGTGGGCCGCACGGAATCTGTGTGGAACATCTCCACACGCTCATAGACGGACGCATCCACGTTGTCGCCATGCTTTCCATCTATCAGGTCCTGGCAAAATCCATTAGCTGGGCAGCTGAACTGGCCTGTCAGTCCCACATGTCTGATTGCGTACAATTAATTCCGGAGTCCTTGTATGTCATCTGCTTCAAGAATCCGGTTGAAGCGCGCTGCACTGGATTCCAACTCATGTAAATTCAGTCAGTGACTCTACGGCTTCCAGCCGCAAGCCGGACCACAGAACTCGTGATCTGCCTCTAAAGATAACTAAAAGTGTCTTCGTTGCTTTTTTGCTGACTAGCATGCTCAGCAGGAGCATTACGAGGAAGCAACTACTTTGCGCCATCCATGTCTTGGCCGGGCACCCCTCCTTGGCATATTGGCCAATTCCCTGCGCCTGATTCGAATCCGCCGGCAAAGTGACCGCCTCATGTTCCCAAAGTAGGCAGAAGTAAGAGGTGGCCAAGGCAAGGTCCGCAATGACTCTGCGGCTGAAAGATGCATACATGCAGTTTGGAAACCTGCGGTATTTCTGATGCTTCTTGGAAGCTAACAAAAGTGGCGTTTGAATCACATGGATTGGCAAAAATGAATACACCGACATACTTGCTCCCTGCTAACTTGCAGCCTGTCGCATGCCAGAGCTGTGTCCTACTGCTGCTGTTCTTGAAGTTCACTTCTTACTCCATTTGGAGGTAAGAAGGGCCCCCTCTGTTAAGCAAGCTGGCCGAGAACTGGCGCGGCGCTCGGCTTGGGCGCAAAAGCCCAGGTCTCAGGGAGGCAAAGGCGCGCTGCATCATCCTGATGAGGAAGCTGCTTGGGAGTCTCGCTGTTTGCAACGCTTTGTATTTTAAGCATTGATTCCAGGGCCAGTCTACTGGTCTTGACAAAACTGATTGAATCGATTGATCGCATCAGGCTTCAATGGGATTTCTGTAAACTGTGGTGGTAGTTTCAATGTTCGTGAGGAATTGCGGCAAATTTCATAAATCATGTAACCGAAACCATGACTGTGCCTCGGGACGTTCGAGGGAAAACATGAGGCACTTCAGGGTGTATTGCATGCAGAAAAGTCATAGCACCCAAATCCCCAAGAATTCTGATGATCAAGACTTAAAGCACCACTCATGGCGTCATGCCAATTCTGTAGGCAAGGGCTTTTTGGCCCGGAAATGTATAATTACAACTCCAGGCCAGCTATAACTTCTCCTACACCCTGCACTCAAACCTTCTTGCGCGGTCCTCCAAGCAAGAGGGACAAAGCTCCGTGTTTTTGGGCCAATGCTGGCGGCAAACAGGGACTATGACTATGAGCCTGAACAGACCCAAACAACGAAACTGGCAGCTTCTGCGCTGGTTCTTAGCTTACGTTACTACTGCTACTACTACTACTGCTACTACTACTACTACTACTACTGCTACTGCTACTGCTACTGCTACTGCTACTCCTACTCCTACTCCTACTCCTACTACTAGCCGCCCCCCCCCCTACCAACTATGTTCCCTTAAATGTGAGGGGTGGGCTGTCAGGAGCCTAAGGGTAAGAAGGTAGTGGTGGAACGTGCCTCACGCACGCAAAATCGAAAATGCTGTACACGCCAGTAGTTTTTGCATGTGCGCTCTTCGAATTGACGTCACTATGCCCCCAACCCCCCCCTCCCTCCCCACCCTATCCCACACCACCCCCCCTCCCGGCATCCCCACGCATTACGAAGTACGAAGCCTTTTGGCATTCAATGAAAACCAGTA